TTTTAGCTTATTTAGTAGGTATGAAGTGACATCTCATTTGTGGTTTTGCTTTGCATTTTCATAATGATCAATGATGAACATTTTTCCTTTTTCAAGTTTTCTTTTCTTTTTTTTTTTTTTGAGACAGAGTCTCACTGTTGCCCAGGCTGGAGTGCAGTGGTGTGATCTCAGCTCAGTGTAGCCTCTCCCTGCTGGGCTGAAGCAGTCCTCCCACCTCAGCCTCCCAAGTAGCTGGCACCACAGGAGTGTGTCACCGTGCCCAACAAATTTTTTAGCTTTTTGTAGAGATAAGGTCTCACTATATTGCCCAGGCTGATGTTGAACTCCTGGGCTCAAGGGGTCTCCCACCTTCCAAAGTGCTGGGATTACAGGCCGGAGCCACTGCATGCAGCCAAACAGTTTTTCATGTGCTTATTGGCCATTTGTGTGTATTCTTTGGAGAAATATATATTCAAATCCTTAGCCAATTTTTAATTACTTTATCTTTTTGTTATCAAATTATAAGAGTTTGTCTGTTAATAGAAGCTCTGCCTACTTTAGGTTCCTCTCCAAAGATTTCACATAGCACATTTTAATATTTTCTCTGATTTCATGCTTAGGAGAGTTTATCTAACCAATTCTCTGCTGTTGCTCTCCTTCCTTTCTTATAATAATCTTTTCAAAAGCTTTTTTTCTAAGCTCTTAGAACAATCTAGAGCTGAGTAATATAGACTTTATTCTGTAAGAAGTTAGTATCATCCAGAAATGCTTCATTTTAATTGTGTTAAAATTCCCTTTTTAAAAAGAACAGACATAAATCCAAAAAGCTAATTTTTTTAGATGTAAATACCTGAAAGAATCAAATTACCAATCATCACTATAAATTTTTGTATATCAGGTTTAAAGATATATTTTGATTACTTTTTTCTATTATAATTTTAGGATGCCTTTTTTAAAATCATTCGAAATGAGGGCATTAAATCTCTATGGAGTGGCCTTCCTCCTACCCTGTAAGTTGAATTTTAATGTTTTTTCTACTAAATAATGGTTGTTATTTTATCCTATAATCAGCATGGTTGGACAAAGTCTTGCATTTTTAATATTAGAATGCTTTCATTTTCTGAGGTATTGTTTTTTAAGCCTCACAGCCACCTGCATGTTTAATGATGTATTGAAAGACTTGCAGGACCTGAACAGGTTATATTCACAGATACGGTTTATTATAGGAAAAGGATACAAAACAGAATCGGTAAGGGAAAAAGGCACATCAGGAGTTGTCCAGAAATGGGCTTCCAAAGTCCTCCCTTATGGCATTGCACAGGATGTGCTTATCCTTCTGTTAGTGAGCTGTGAAGTATACAAAGTGCTTCTGCCTTGGGAAACCCATTTGAGTTTTGAGTGTAGGGCTTTTATTGAGCATGGGTTGTATGGACACATTCTGTGTTTGAGGCCAGTTGTGATGAGCAAAACTTTAAACCCACAGAAGGAAAGAAGTTTACTATAAATCGCAGTATACAGATCAACCTAGACAAGTTGGTTTAGTGCTTCAGATGTCCAAAAATCTTTCTAATAGGGAATACTCCAGGGGATACATTCCCATGAGTTGTCCAGACGTCAGGCATGCACATAGGCCCTCCTGAAGTTATACAAGGTTTGAGCAACCAAGCCTGCTGTGTTGTGTTTGCTACACAAGCATATGGTAATTTTTTTCATGTTCAGAAATAAAAATTTTGATGTCTATTTGTTCATTTTACTAAAGCTGTATGATATATTGCAAAATGTATACTTTCTCCAGATAATTCTAATTGTCTACTAACTAGCGATTACATGAATTAACATGATAAACTCTTAATATTAAATGTAAAAATCTAAAATAGTAACTTGGCTTTTGCTGTCTCATTTATTCCCAAGGACTTTATATTTTTAATGGAGGAAATTAGTCAATTTGAGGCATTTATTTTAAACAGTGCTTAAGGTTTGAAGTTAGTGGCAGATCTAATACCTCACCAGTCAGTCCTGCTCCTAAATTCTCAGCAGCAAAGTCCACCATATAAGATTAGGCATTCCAGACTATGGTCTGTGAATGTTCTTTAGTTATATCATAAACATGGACTCGTTTCTTGTTGCATTAATATTTATCGACACGACAGTACATGCAACTTTGTGTTTGAATTTAATAATTCCCTTTTAATAATTTTTAAAATAGTATATCATTAGAATTCCCTTAAAATTAGTGTACGTAATTCTGATGATGTTAATTATAATTTATGTCTGGTTACAAGCAGGAGTGATATATGGTCTATAGTTCAAAAATGTTTTACAATTTCTCATGTACTTTTTATTTTGCTGATTCTGATGTTATGGTAATTATGAATGAGAAAGAAGATCTGGGCAACCAGAAACAGAACAAGTCAAGGAGATGAAATGTCTGTCTTAATTTGTCTTTTCCTATTTGTTTTAATTTAATTTTATTTATTTATTTAGAGACAGTCTTGCTCTGTCCCTTAGGCTGGAGTGCAGTGGCATGATCTCGGCTTATTGCAACCTCTGCCTCCTAGGATCAAGTGATTCTAGTTCCTCAGCCACTTGAGTAGCTGGTATTACAGGCATGTGCCACCACCATGCTAGCACTTATTTAATGCTATATATTGTAACTGTCTTCACAACTAGAATGCAAACTTTTGGATGGCAAATGCCTACTTTATATCTTTTTACTGCCTACTAAGTATTAACCATTTTTAAAATAAAAGAAAAATTGATCTCATAGGCTAATTTGTTGTGGTTTTTAGCTTACACAAAATATAAGGGTTTTTTAGCTTATATAATAATATTTGAATTTAAGACTGTGGAATCTTTTGATAATTTTGAACAAATCTTTTTGTGTGATCTAACAGAGTGATGGCAGTTCCTGCCACAGTTATTTATTTTACCTGCTATGATCAATTAAGTGCTCTTCTGAGATCTAAGTTAGGAGAAAATGAAACCTACATACCAATTGTTGCTGGAATTGTAGCCAGATGTGAGTAATAAATCTTTATTTTCATTTTGATTTCTGTTTAGAGCTTCTGTTTAAGTTGGGACATTCACAGATAATTTGTACAATATATAGAATATTAGTATGATATATTTTGCCTTATAGTTTATATTAATTTGTTAATATAGGATAGATACTCCAGAAGTCATATGGAATAGTGATTACCATCAGAATGAGATGGGCTCAGCCTATCTTGGTCAAATCATGGACAGAGTTTTTAGAGTGACATCAGAGTTGGTTCTGATTCACCTGAACTTCTGAGGTATCACGTGGGATCATGCATGATTCAGTCCAAAGTTCTGAATCACTTTCCTTAAAACTTTGGGATTCAGAGTTTGATCATAAGGAAAGTTGACTCTATACAGAAGAACGTTTACTCTGCTAAATGGGAGTGGGATTTATTGGGTCAGTAACTGGAATGGGCTTTGGTTTTCATAGTTCTGGTTGATTACAACATTTCTGGAACTGCCGTTGAGAGAGTTGAAACCAGAAAAAGTAAGATATATGAAAATAGACTTTTAAGAAATAACTTTTATCAAGGGAAAAATCTGTGTCAATTATGTTGACATCATTAGATATTTAATTTTAAGGTTTTCAGACATTATAGAATAAAAGTTTAAAAATCATAAAATATATGAATATTAATTTTTACAGTATGTGTATTTGCATAGTACATGGCTTTATTTTTGTTTTCTTTTTTTAAACTTGTTTGTATTAGTTGGTGCAGTAACTGTGATAAGTCCACTGGAATTGATTAGAACCAAGATGCAGTCCAAGAAGTTTTCTTACACGGAACTGCATCGATTTGTCAGCAAGAAAGTATCTGAAGATGGTTGGATTTCCCTTTGGAGGGGCTGGGCTCCTACTGTTCTTAGAGATGTACCTTTCTCAGGTAGGATTTATCTTATTTGTAGCTACTCAATTTTACGTAGCTTTGTTAAATATTACTGTTACTAGATTTTTAACTCTTTACCATTAAAGGTAAGTTATTGTCTGTAGTGACCACAAACTCCTTTTTCAT